GAACTGCTATGGCATTTTTAATGTTGGAATTATTTTAAGAAAAAAAAAATCCACATTTTTTCTTCAAACTAGCCAGGAAATAGTCAGTTCCTACTGAACTGAACTCTATCTCCCAACCTGCAGTACAACACAGCTACCTACTGCAGGTAAGACATTAACTGACCCTAAGTCTTCCACAGAACCTCACTCCTGATTGTCTGAATTATCCCTTTAAGTGTGCAGAACGAGGTGAACGTGAGCGATCAGCTGTCGGCTGCTTAACGTTCACTGATGCTGACTCTGCGAGCTGCTTAGTGCGACCCATCCGTGTGATCTGTGCATCACGTTGCACCGCCTCCCCCACAAGCCCCCACCCCCACCGCCGCTCTGCGTCAAGGAAGGTGCTGGGAGGTGTGTGTGTGTTGGCAGAGCAGGAGTGTGAGTTGTTTGAGAGAAAGAGGAGGAAGCTCAGGAGGATGGACAGATGCTGAAGGATAAGGACTCGCAGCTGAGATCCATCAGCTGCCAGGCGATGGAGGCTGTTGAGGCCTGACCCCCCCCCCCACACACACACACACACAGCTGCACCCCCCTGGTTGTGCAGCTCATCCCTGTCAGCGGTTTGTGTTGGTGCTGCTGGTGTGTGTCTGCCCTTAACCTTAATTCTTACAGAACGTGGGCCGTGCACTTACTGCGATTGGTTTTAAGCTGCACAGGCTGGCTGTGTGCATGTGTGTGTGCGTGTGTTTGTGTGTGCATGTGTGTGTGCATGTGTGTTAAATGTGGTTGGAGCTTGGCAGCTGGAGCAGACTGCAGCCAGAGTCACCAGGGAGAGGAGGCGGTTATGAAGAAGAGTTGAAGGTCGGTGCAGTAAATGAGGTCAGCCTGAATAAATGAGCACTAATAAAACCTCCACACAGAAACCCCCCCACCCCCCAGGCCTCCCCCCACCAACCCAGCAAGGTCCCTTCAGGTCCCACCACCAGGTCTGCTGAAGCTGGACTCCTGCAGCTCTGTTCGGACCCATGTACTGTATACTCGTGTACGTTTTATTTCTGTCCACCAGAGCTGCTGGTATCGAACCACAAACTCCTCAGTTTTAGCTGCACCACCGTGTCAGACCCCGTCTTTGTTTTATGGTGAAATTCTGGCAAATCAAACTGTCAGCAGTCCCTCGATGATCGCGGAGGTCACGTTCCAGACACCAGCACGAGAGGTGAAAAACCGCCAAGTAGGAACTCTATATTTATTTTAGTATTTTTATATATTTTAAGGTTTTATAAAACTTTCCCACACTCGTACAATGTTCTAAACTCTTAAACCTACATAATTTTAACAACATACATATACTGTACTGTACTGCAAAATTCTACTCAGCAGCTCTGCAGAACAGCAGCTCGGTTCTGGTTCTGCAGACCTACCCTGCAGCGACGAAGTCCACCGCCCCGTCCCACCAGTTCTGCGAGCTCAGATAGTGTAGATTTGCGTTACAAAACTTTCCCTCCATTTCGGCAGAAAGCAGTGGCTG